ATTTTAATTTCTTTTTGAAGAAAGCAAATTTACATTTTGTTTCTTTGTGTAGAAAGCAAATTTACAAATTTCTACATTTTATTGTATTTTAAACACTACAAATAACTTAAACTGGCGCTCATACCTGATAATTTTGTGCTGCTGAAAACTCAATTTAGTAGATAAGTTCTGTGATCCCAGCATTTTTGAAATCTTAGCAGAGACTCTAAAACTTTTGGCTTAAAGGGCAATCATGACATGGTAAACTTGGTCAGAAATCTATTTTATAATTTAAATGGTTACTTTTAAGTATAATTTCAAAATCAAAGAATTCTATAGAATCAAAGTAGAAAATTCCTAGATAATTCAAAGATAATGAAGATAAGAGCTAATTCACCACAACATCAGAAACTTAAGTATTTAACAATGTGTCAGATTTTAAAAGTATTTGAAAAGTTTAAAATTCAAAGACATCCAAGCTAAACTTATTCAATCATCCCTGTAATATTTAACTGCATATCATAAAACATAAGTACAGTGGTCCCTCAAACAATTAAACATAGAATTTCCATATGATCCAGCAATTCTACTTCTGTGTCCCCCCAAAAAACTGAAAGGAGGGAATCAAACAGATATTTGAACACTTATGTTCACAGCAGCATTATTGAGAATATCCAAGAGGTAGAAGCAACCCGAAAATCCATTGACAGATGAATGGAAAAACAAAATGTGGTAAATACACACAATGGAATATAATCCAGCCTTTAAAAGAAAATACTGACACATGCTAGAACATAGATGAACCTTGAAAACATTTTGCTAAGTGAAATAAGCCACACACACTAAAGACAAATATTGTATGATTTCACTTACAACATAGCTAGTAATTAATAAAGACTAGAGTTGAATAGTGTTCGCCAAGGGTTAAGGGAAGGAAAAATGGGAACTATGATTTAATGGTATAGTTTTAGTTTAAATGATGAAAAGGTTCTACAAATGGATTGGGGAGTTTAACAATTCAGAAATCATTAAAACCATATGTAGTGGTTAAAACTTACACAACTGAGGATGTGGTTCAGAGATAGAGCAACTGCCTAGCATATACAAGTCCCTGGTTTAGAGCTCCAGCGTGCATGTCTACACACACACAAAAGCCAGAAAAAATTCTCAGATACAGCTTTTGGGCTTGATATTAATATAATTTTTGAAATACATCCAACAATTAAAGTTTACAAAAAAAAACTGTAGCATGTTTAACACTTCACTCCAAAGTGGTTAGCTGCTTAATGATGTTTCTTCCTGACATTCTTTTAATACTGGGAAAGTATTAAAAATTAAAGTTACTTTTTAAAAACATAGCAATGACAAGAAAATTAATTTCTGCTCTAAATCTTGTTAATTTGTAGTGAGCAATCAGTAAATTCTCTGATGTGATCATATAGCTATGTGTGTCACACTCATATACACATATATTCCCACACAAGTATGACATTTCCTTTAACCCAAACCATTAAGGGTACTTTTTGCTTGTTTTAGAAATTCAACATTGGCAGAGATTCATGTGTGATCTGACACCAATTTCAGAATTGAAAAACTGAAAAGCACAAAATTAAAGTTACTTGCCAAATATGATAGTAGAGTAACAGCCAGAAGCTGTAACTTCTAAGCATGAGCTGTGACAAAGCTATATAGTTCATAAAATTCAAATCAGCCTTTAAAATTAAAGGCCACTGATTCTAATATTTGTTCCTATGTGAGCACTGAGGAAGTAAAATCTGAATTATATAGTATGTCGTTCCACTTGTTTTGTTTTTTTTTTTTTTTGTACCAGGGATTCAACTCAGTGGCACCCAACCACTGAGCCATATCTCTAGCTCTATTTTGTACTTTATTTAGAGACAAGGTCTCACTGAGTTGCTAAGTGCCTCATCACTACTGAGGCTGGCTTTGAACCCGCAATGCTCCTCGTCTCAGCCTCCAGAGCTGCTGGGATTACAGGCGTGCGCCACCTTGCCTGGGTCCCTCTAGTTTTACAAAGCTTTATTATCTGAAAAGAAATATCCAAAACTCAGCAATTCAAGGAAAACAGCAATTTATAAGAGCTATTTTAGGAAGCATTCACATTGTTGTTTTATAAAGGTTTTTTTTTTTTTTTTTTTTTTAATACAGGTGCTATACAACTGTACTACATCCCCAGGCCTTTCTTTGAGACAGGGTCTTGTTAAGTTGCTAAGGCTGGCCTTAAAATTGCATTTCTCTTACCTCAGGCTCCTGAGTAACTGAAAATACAGGTGTACTTTCACAGGTGCACTTGGCAATCAATTTTTAATTCAGTAAAACTTTCCCTCTAAGCTCTGTGCCCTCATTAAGAGCGTTGCTCCTCTGGGGGAAAAAATGACAGTTGAACTATAATTATAACAGCATGTAAACCCATGAAATCGAATACAATGTTTATAACAAATTATTGTTCACTTTATATGTGAACTTTCTTATTCATATTCAATATTGGATGCCAAATTGACATAATTAGACACCAACCCTATATATTCACTGGTTATTTATAATTTTTTCTACATTCAATGACCAGTTATGCATCATAGAAGTTTCTCTTTATAGGGACTTGTTTGCTGTTGTTCTTGTTATTTTTGTTTGTTTATTTGAGACAGGGGTTTCACTGTCATCCAGCATGGCCTTGAAAGCCTGGTCTCAACTGATTCTCCTGCTTCAGCCTCTGGAGTAGTAGCTGGGACTACAGACATGCACCACAACTCCAATCTTTTAAAGGGAAGCTTTAAACACAAAATACACATGTGATTACTTTCTATTGTCACATGATAGGAAAATGCTCAGTGAAGGACTGCTTTCACTATATAGTGAATCATTTTCTACTTGAAGGTTGATGAATAAGAACTCAGATAAAAATCTATCAGCAAATTACTACAACCTCTTACTGACTGCATTAAAACTTTCTTTTAATGTTTTTGCCCACCTCCTTAGTTCTGACAATATGGATATAACATTGATGGGGGAAATCATGTAAAGTGAGAAAAATTCAACATTTCTAGGGATCAAGAATATCATAAAAGACATGTCACCAGGATTGTAAATAGTAAATATATACTATACAGAGTGTGTTGAAACTTTACTGAAACTTCATTAATGAATTGTTGGTATAAGCAGGTTCCTGCATAGCCAAAACCTGTACTCTTTCTAGGAACTGCACAGAATTTGCAGATTCAAAATTCTGATAGACACAGCTTAAATTTTCCGATGTTCAATTTCTCACATGCACATACTAGCTTATTGTCTCCTCCAGGTGTTCTCACTTAAGTATATTTCTACTTTGACTTTTTAAGGGAATACTTATGAAGCTTGCTTAACAGTAATGTCAACAGGTTAAGAAATTGCCACAACAGAGTTCCAACTGAAAAGCATGATCAAATACATAGTTGTATCTCCAAGGAGAAAACTTGTAATTTATTTAACAGACATCACTCAAAAGAGATTGGCTGTATTCTTAATTGTTTGTGTTAAACAGTATCATTTTTCTTTGATTTAAGGCAATTCTGGGGGAGGAGTGTCTTTAAGATATACAACCTGGCTGATCTGAAACACAGGTCCACATATTGCTACAATACCTGCAAAAATGAGCAGCCTCCAGGGACAAGTATTAGCCATCCACCACAAATTCCTACTGATTCACAATTAGATATCTAGCAATTGTCATCTGATAAAAGACATTCTCAAAGTCCTACATCCAGATACAACTATTTCAGATAAATCTACTCAATTTATGGCTGTTAACTCCCATTTTGAATATCATTTTTTATTGATTGTTCAAAACATTAGAGAGCTCATGATATATCATCTTTCATACATTTGACTCAATTGGGTTTTGAACTCCCATTTTTACCCCAAATACAGATTGCAGAATCACATCTGTTACATACTCACATTTTTACATAATGGCATATTAGTGACTGTTGTATTCTGCTACCTTTCCTAGGAAAGGTAGCAGAATATCATTTTTTTAACGCTGTTAGAAAATTACTTTGCCTGGGGGAAATGAAAAAAAATTAAATCACTGTTACTGTTTTCTCCCTATAGCCTATGGATAGATTCCACCTAGAAATTTAGAATTGGGGAGATTTAGAGCAGATTTTGTGGCTATTCTCCGATTAATAGAGAGCTTTACAATTTCAGCTGAGGGGTTCAGAACGTATTATCTAGCATACTTTAGCAAAAATTCCAAAGTATCACAGTTAGAATGAGAACACTGACAGACTTCAAGCCAACAAACTATTTTCCAAATGCTAGGTAAAGAGGTGAGGGTGTCCCAAACTCTATATCCAAAATGCATCTACTACTGTGCATACTTAAACTTCTAGGGAAACACATCACTGGTTTCACAACTGACTTAATTATCCAACCATTCATAAAGCCTGAGAGGTAGGTACATTGGGAACATTCAAGTACCCTTAACTTACACTATCTCACTGCGAACAATTCAATTTCACAATATTGTCTGCATAAAAAAACCAAGACACCTGAAAACTAAGTCAGGATAACCCCCTTTGACATCTCCTGCCAATCATCAGGGCCTCAGGATAAGTGACTCCTTCAGTTTCTATTGTGCAGCTGCGGTCTTCCACGCGGATACCCCTACGATTTTTTCACGTGTGTTGACCCGACCACGCGGTACATAATAAACATGGTCACATGAACAACTCGTGACTTCCATTGTGAATCAATCCTCCCGTTGTTAGAGGGAAACTAAAAGTTACCATGCACACATGAAAGTACCAAGAAAGCACGCAGCTGAAGGCTTGGTAGGTGATGCATGTGGCATCAGCACGAAGTCGCAGCACCTCATAGTGGAAGTGCAACAAATGCCAACAGTTTGTTACTTTTAACAACTTCCTGCAGCGCTGGGGGAGCCAGCCGCCGCCGGGAAGCCGAGATCGCGCTGCGGCATCACGAACCTGACCAGCCTTCGAGACTCCCGGGAGAGGAGCGCTCACCTCCCACCAGGCGCGGGCAGACCACCCGGAGCACGGGGCTGGCAGGAGCCCGAGGCTGCCTCGGATTCCAGGCGAGGTCGGCCGCGAGAAACTGACCTACGCGGTCACCCAGGCTCCCAGAGCTCCTGAGGCGAGGACCACGACCACAGGCTTTCCGTCTGCCAGCCCCACGTTGTTGAAGCGGCCGTCGCCGACTCCGGATCGCACTCCCGAGGACCCTACTGGGCCCCGGCGCTGGCCACCCGGCAGAGCGGGAGGCGGTGCGACTCCGCTAGGGGACACTGCCCCTCCCGGGTGCCGGCCTGGAGAGCGCGCGCGCGCCTTCCCGAATTGTTGGCGGCTGGACAGACACGTGACCGTCTCACGGGACCACGCCCCCAGAACGCCACGCCCACTGTCCGGCTTATTCTGGTCCGGCCCGCTCCAGTCTGCCCGGCCAGCTGTTTCAGGCTTTGTCAACTTTCTTGCTCCTCACTACCTCCTGAGGCCAAAGAAGAGTTGGACCCTACCTGGAAGTCTACAAGAAAGTGGTGGTGTCCGGGGAGGAAGACCCCCAGCTTAAGCAAAATATAAATACTGGATTAATACTCAGCAAGCTTGCTATTAAACAAATACATCGCCCAGCTACCTAGTTGTTGTTGTTGTTTTCTTTTTTGGTTTTGTTGAGGTCTGATCCATGGGAACTTAATTAGCAGTGTAAATTAGCTATACTGCTTTTTCTTTTCATGCTTTTCAAAGGATGGCCTTAAAATGCCAAACAGGTATAAACATTTATGTAGGAGTGAGGAATGCATAGAGATAAGGATTTTAAAAATTTCCTTCACTTTCTCCACTAAATAATCTTTCAGACTAGATGCACCAAAGTTCTAGCCAGAGGAGTTAGCACATAGTTTATAATGTGAAGTTTGGAACTTGAGTATAATTCCAACGTCAAAAATTTACATAAACTAAAAACGAATTTACAAGCATATGGAAAAAAATTTTGTTAATTTTAATTTACAAGTATATTTAATGAGCTTTACAGTGAGCCTAATAGTTATCACTTTTAAAGGGACTACAGTTCTTTAAATCCTAGAAACATTTAGAACCTGTTTCAGGCCAATTGATAATTGCACTATACGTATTACATACATCAAGTGGCAGATCTTTTAGAATGATGTGTTTGTAGTACACAAATAGCCTTGCTTGTGGAATACAGACACCATCATCTTTTATGAATAAAACAAGCACTTGGCTAGCACAATATTTCAACTGCAGAGTATATAGTAACTAAGGCATTCGTATTTGTCTAAGAAACTTCAGAGCTTATTTTCTAAGAATACTGAACTATTTTCACAGCAAAAATTAAATTTACTGTTGAAATAATTTTCCACTTGATTCCAGGAAAATTTTCGTTCTCATTGTGATGATTTAATTGCCTATATGTATGACTTACACTTTGTAATCACCTTCTTTAGACACAGTTCCTAGCTGAACTAGAGGAGGATGAAATACTAAGCATTAGAATTATCAAAGGTTCCAATGTTGGTGGGATAACTAATTATGTTTTTACACAATACAGCACATCTGTGGTATTTGCATAAAGAATACTTGAGAGAAAAAAAGATATCTACTGGGAAGTTTTTATTTATTTATTTGACATTGGGCATTGATCCCAGGACTTTATGCACACTAGCCAGGCAGTCTACCACTGAGCTACATTCCCAGTCTCTCCTGGGCAGTTTTTTTGTTTTTTTTTTTTTTTGTTTGTTTGTTTTAACTAGTACAGGTAAAAACACAATGATGGTGAAATAGAATTCATTATTCCAGAATACTGCTGTCCTATGAAACTTTCCGCAATTATGGAAATGTTCCATAAATCTATCTTGTCCAGTACAGTAGCCACTGGCCACTTATTGACCTTTTTAAATGTAGCTTATGTAATAGATGGTTTGAATTTTTTAAAAAATATTTATTTTTTAGAAGTAGTTGAACACAATACCTTTATTTTGTTTATTTATGTTTATGTGATGCTGAGGATCGAACCCAGGGCCTCGAACATGCTAGACGATGGCTCTACCACTGAGACACAATCCCAGCCCCTGGTTTGAATTTTTATGCAATTTTAATTAGTTTAAACTTAAATAGCCATATATGACTAGCAGTTTCCACATTGCAGTTCTCAAATAACAAAACAATTACTATACTGCCCCAACTGTGTCATACTTGATTTTGAGAAACATTTGGCAGACACAGAACCTCTGGAACCAATTAATAAATGCTTCCCTCCTTGCTCCTTTCTGAGCACATGAGCAGGAGGACATTTTAACTTTGTAGGCAGAGCACATTAACTGGAATCCCTATGTACAATGTATGTAAGTAGGAATAAAAATGGAATCTCTGAATGGATGGGAAAGGGATTTAAGAGTAACGTAACCTTGGTCCTGCAATTCCCATATTGCCTGAACCAAACAGAAAAGTTAATGGGGTAACTTTAAGAATGGGATGGACTTCATCAGAATAGTCCACTGCTGGTTCAAACAGGATTCATCTCAGATTATTTCCTTTTTCTCAAGAACTTTAAGAACCCCAAACTCTACCACCATTCCCTTCTCACATCCCAAGGATTCCCTCCAGAATATGAGTCTCCCCAGATTACAGTACCTAATGTTTGTGTCCCTACATTTTTGTCTTAAGCCTGAGAAACCCCAGAATGCACTTCGTGTGTTGCATGTTTTAAAACACTCCCCTGGTGCCAAAGTGACTTTGAAGTGCTGCAGGAACATGCTAAAGGCTTGTTAAGTCTATTAAAAGGAGGATTTTATGGACTGAGACTTTGGGGAGGGCTTCGGATAATTACTGCCTGGAATGCTGAAAAGTAGGTCAGATGTCAACAGGCAAATCCAGATAAATCGTTGAGTTGGGGGAAATTAACCATCCCTACACCTACATATTAAATACTTTCTAATGTTATTAATTCCATACCATCAAAGATATGAGGTCATTGGGGGTTTTTTCTTTTAAAAGCTGTTTTATTTTTGTCATTTGTGCATTCGCCCCAGTTTATTTAATACCTAAAAAGAGCTGGCATGCTTTCAAATATTAAATTCTTTTGATCTATACTTAATTCTGAACCTGTCTCTCTTTTCCTGGAGTTGTGATAAACAGATATCTAAGTATCAGCTTTCTACCATCGATTGATTTTGCTGACTCCCTACACAAGAAGTTTAGAAAGCGCTACTTTCTTTGTAGAGTTTCTTGGTTACAAGCAACAAGTACTGGCTCTAATTAACTTAAGCAAATAAGGAATGTACTACACAGACACCAAAAAAATAGCTGAAATCTTGCCTGTTGAGGACTGGACTAGGGTACTGGACTAGGCATCTGAGCAGGAGGAATCTTGCAATTTTTCCAGAGTATCAATGCTGGGAAAAATACATTCTAATTATTTTTATTTTTCTATATTTTTGTCTCTTTTCATGGGAGGCAAGTTGAAAAAGAGAGTCTTTCATACTTTTTCTCATTAAAAAAAAAAAAACTCCTTGGACTGTATTTTCAGAATGACTTTTAGCCGTTGTTTTTATTCATCATGAATTCACCCTGGTTTTCCTTCCAAAAGTGTCTGGTGAAGCAACTTCCTGAAAGTTCACTACCACTTCTTTCATGCCTCAGAAAATCTGCCCTGCCATTGCCCCCTTTCAGGACTTCCTTATATAGCTTATTATTCTTGGCTCAGCAGATAGAACATGATCGTGGCCTAACTGGCATCTCTCTACCAAAAGTCTGGTAGATGCACTCTGTTCAACAGAAAAGCTCTCTATTGAGAGGCAGTGAACCATCTAAATTTCTCTCTTGGGCATATTTGACCACAAAGTACAGTCCTCAGTCAGGGTAGATACACAAAGGCATAGAGAGGGAAGTGAGAGCAGAGAGAAAACAGAAGCTCTGGGATGGTAGGAAGGAGAGTAGAGAAAAGATGATCAGTGGCGCCAGAAGCAACAGCAGAGAGAGAAGGACTGAGACCTCACTGTGTGGAAACACTAGAGCAGGCAAGGTGATGGTCCCTGCTGAAAGGCCAGCTGCAGCTACATCTTCAACAAACTTCCAGAACAACATCGATCTGTCTACTTTTATTTCTCTGTATAGTTGCAATAAATCCCTGCCTACTATAACCTCTACTATAACCTGATCATTCTCTAGTCCTTGAGCCTATAAATAGCCTAACATCCACTACTCCCCTTTCCTGCTCTCATCTCTCCCCTTCTTAATCATTAACCAAAAGCTACATCAATACTTCCTCTCTCTTCAATAGCCCCAGAGTCTGCTGAATAGAGTCTACTGTTCTTTGCTCTTCTGTGGCTTCTAAAATACATATCTCTTGCTGGGTGCAGTGGTTCAAGTATGTATTTCCAGCCACTTGAGAGACTGAGGCAGGAGGATCTCAAGTTTGACTAAGCCTCAGCAACTCTACAAGACCCTCAGCAATTAAGCAAGACTAGGTCTTGCTTAGAAAATAAAAAGAACTTGAGGTGTAGCTCAGTTCAATACTGGGTTCAATCCCAAGTATCTAAAAGTAAAGTAAAATAAATCTCCTTTTGAGGATGCCAACTCCTACCATCTATTCCTGAGTCACCTCTCAGCACCTGATACAGTCAGATCAAAGGGTTCACTCTGGATGAGTTACCGTAGCCCATGATTTTACTTCATCCACCAAAGTCACAAAGATCTAAAGGAGAAGACTTTATAGGCCCATCTTTGGGCCTCAATTAGAAATATGGATCAAATAACCGACTCCTGGATTTTACTCAGACTTAGAAGAGTCATCAGACATCACTAACCCAACCTCAAACCTAAAGCCAGATTGTCATCAATTACATTTTGAAGAGAAATTCCCCTAGCTTGGGGAACTTTTCTGACTGGCAGGTTGCTTACTTCACAATACATCCAAAACCACTTTTTCTTCCATCATTGCTGTTAGAAGTTCTTCTTAATGAGGCAAAAACTAACTCCATACAACTCGAACCTTTTAGTCCTCAGCTGAACAGAATAAACTTAACTGCATTTTCACAGATCATTCCTCTAAAAATTTAAGCATCATTAGCAGAGTTGCCTTGATTTTTCTTCTGGTTTACATTCTCCAGATCTTCCAACCTATCCTTATGTACCAGTTGGTCATGGTATTTGCAGATACTTTCTTCTATTAAAATCTAGCAGCCAGAATTAAACATAGAACAACTGATTTTATGAAGCTAGAGAATGTCGGATATTTTATTAAGTTCTATTATAAGAATCAACTGGTAAACCCTGAGCCTTTTTTTTT